ATTATTATTATTATTATTATTATTATTATTATTATTATTATTATTATTATTATTATTATTATTATTATTATTATTATTATTATTATTATTTTATTATTATTATTATTATTATTATTATTATTATTATTATTATTATTATTATTATTATTATTATTATTATTATTATTATCATTATCATTATTATTATTATTATTTCCATCTTTATTACTATTGTTATTATCATCAATATTTGGACAATATCTCTTTCGTCATTTAATAAAATACATCCTAAATGATCCGAAAAAAATATTGTTCAATTAAATGGATTATATGATATTATGATCATTGTTGAAATGTAATTACAAAGGAAATAATCACGATGAAAAAAATAATGATGGTTTATTAATTTAATTTTATTATCAATACATGCATATATATTTAAATACATGATTACGTCATATTAGTTTATTTATCCATGAATTAATTCAAATTTGAATTAATTTTACAACCACTTCGAATTAACCTTGTTTATATTATTTATCAATTTGAATGCAGTACAAAAAACAATGTGATAGTAATAATTTCCTGAAATTTAAACAATTAGCTATTTTAACCTGAAAGGTAGATTAATGACTTTGATGCAAACTGATCGATCATATGAAACATTTTGGTTTCATTCAATCAACTTTTTTCAACTCTTTTCGTCACCCTAACTATCATCTCATAATCTTTTATCTTATCATTATCCTCCCCTCATCTTATCCACCTTTCTGTTCTTATCATTTCAAAAGATGATATAGTAAAATGACTGAAATGATTATATTGTGATAAGTTTATCACAATGAAGTGAAAATATCACGATCAAAATAAATGGTACACAGAACTTGATTTTCCTTTTCTTTTCATCATTACTACTTGTTTTAAATTTCGGTCAAATTAAGTTCAATTTCAAAGATAAAAGAAAAAAAAAAAGGAAAAGAAGGAAAGAAAAGGAAAGAATAGAAAAATGAGTGAAGAAAAAAAAAAAGAAAAACGACAAAAAAAAAGAAAGTGAAAAATTTCCTTCTTAAAACATATATAATAAATAAATTTATTAATATAATAGTTAATAAAATTTTCAATTTTCAATTTTAATGTTTACAATGGTTATGCATGAATGTGTGGGTGTATATTTTTTGTTAGCAACAATTAGTTGGTTCTATAAATTAAATTGTTAACAAAAATTTACACTATTTTTAAAAAGTGAAAGTGGAAAGAGTGAAGAGAAAAGAAAGGAAGAATTAGACATAATGCATAAAGAGAATTTGACATTCTTCCGGCAAATAACAGTCGTAAAAATTATTTCGTTTTGTGTGTGTGTGTGTGTGTGTGTGTGTGTATGTGTGTATGTGTGTATGTGTGTGTATATATATATATATGTGTGTGTGTATGTGTGTGTGTGTAT